CTTCTGGCTATTTTCTGCTTTTTGGAGACTTTTAATATTTATTTCATTTTTTTTTCAGCCAGCCCTGAGCCTGAATCTGAACTTGAACTGTTCTCATTCCCCTCCATCGACTCAGGGTGGGGCGGTGACGCCCAAAAGTCACGGGTTGTTGACACGCTGAAGTGCTTCAACACTCTTCACCCTCAACACAGAGCTTCCAAAGTCGTGTCCGCGCGCATCGCTTTACCATGTCATCTGAGAACGAAGTCTGCCAGGCTGTCCTGGCCTTCGTTACGGAAGGGGCTTATCCCGAGGAAAATATTGTCGCAGCCGAATTCCCAGCGACAGCTCTTGCCAAAGAGCTGGAGCTCATCGCGCAAGCTCGTGAACAGGTCGAGGTAAGTGGATGCGATTGTGACTTGGTCTCCAGTCGCCCGATTTCTCGATTTTGTAATAATTGCTAACCTCGCCCTTTCTGAGATAGAATGAAATCAGCTCCTTAAGTCGCGAGAACACCTTCGATGCCGACGAATGGATCGTCCAAGCAAAGCAACTACATGCGGATATCGAGCGCTCCCGACTGACGGCGCGGGAAATTGTCGAGCAACATGAGCAGACAGACCCCATCCGGTCCAAGGTCGAGGATGCGAGCGCGAAAGTAGGATTGATCGAGACCGAGATAGCCTTCAACGAGGCAGTGGCAGGCACATTAGAGGTGGTACAGCGACTATGCCAGCAATTGGAAGCTGCAAGAGCTTCTCTGGCCAGCGGTAATATCACAGTTTCTATCGAACAGCTGGAGGCTATCCAGGCGGCTCTCGGGGACAACACTTTCTTTGCCAATACCAACGTAATGAGCATCCTCACCATCGAGGGTTCTCGTCTAAGGCAAGAGATTGAAGAAGCAGTCCGCCTGCGCTGGTCTCAACAACTTAATGTGGACCGTCAAAAAGGCGAGCTTCGGATCGAGAAGGCTCAGGGTCCAGACTCTCTGGAAAGCACCATTTCGTCACTTGAACAGCTAGGTACCTTCACGGCCGTCAATGAGAAGTTCCAGCAAGACCTAATTACAGCAATCATTGATCCCATTCTACAACCTCGCCGTGACGGCAACAGTCACGCTGTCACAATCACGGAAGTTGGTATTCACCTTGATTCAGAATCATCAAAGGCAGCTGTTGCTGAAACCTTGGATCGCATTACTCGAGTTCTGGATTACCTGCGACAGAACCTACCGTCGTCGATTTTAGTTTCCATTCCTCATTCCTTTCTCCCAGCTGTTGCTTCAAAAACAATTTCAGGGTGGCTGTCTCCTGCCATCCCAACCGATCTCATTGGTCTCGATAAATTTGAAGAAACACTGGAACTTGTCCTACAGCTTACAAAAACCATCGAATCATGGGGCTGGTCCGGACACGAAGAGCTGAGTGGTTGGGTTAACCAGGCTGCTCGTTTGTGGCTTGCCCGGCGCCGGGTTGACTCGCTTGATCGTGTGCGCAAAGTCCTTGCGGCAAGCACAGGCAGCACTAAGCAGGTTGAGCGAGTGGAGAAAGAAACTGTTACCCAGGCCGATGAAGCGCTCTTGGAGAATGCCACCACTGACGACTGGGATGCAGAATGGGATGATGAGAAGGAAGAACCTACTACCGGAGAAAGTGCTATTCATGCCGAGGAAGATGAAGAAGATGTTAGTGCCTGGGGCTTGGACGACGATACTCAGGATGACGCCAAGCCCCAAGCAACGGCTTCGACTAATGATGACGATGGCGCCGACGATGCCGACGATGCCTGGGGGTGGGGTGAAGACGAAGAAGACGGTAAAGATGAGCAGAACGATCAATCGCATACTACTCCCTTATCAAAGCCGACCAAGGAAAAGAACAATGTGCAGCCGCTCGCAGAAAAAGAGGTGGTTCTGAGAGAGGTTTACACCGTGACCGACATACCAGAGTCGGTTCTAAGGATCGTTCAGCAGCAGATTACGGACTCCAAGGACATTTCTCTGCCACCGTAAGGATCCGAAAGCTCTATAATAACTTCCATTGTTGCATTGGGCTAACTGAAAACGCTAGACATTCCGCCTCCCGTGTTGCTTCCTCTGGCCCTGGTCTGCTTGCATTGCCCACGTTGATCCTGGCAATGTTCAAGGCCACATCCTCTTCGTTCTATTCACTCAAACTCAACTCTGGGCAGATGTATCTCTACAACGACAGCTTGTACCTTGCAGGTCAAGTTCGTGAGTTGATAGAGGAACATGACCTCTCCAGACTCAGCTCCGATGTGGAATCCCTGGAAAAATTTGGTAAACTTGCATATAGTAAGGAAATGCAAACGCAGAGTACTATTGTCACAGACCTTCTCGATGGGGCTCAAGGATTTGGACAATGCTCTGAGCAGCCATACAGATCAGAGTGTCAGAATGCTGTGAGCGCCGCTGTTGACAGGATCCGTGATGTCTACAAGGAATGGCAACCGATTCTATCTCACTCCGCCTTGCTTCAGTCCATTGGCTCTCTGATATCTACCATGACCAGCAAAGTCATCATTGATGTTGAGGATCTCGGTGATATCAGTGAAGACCAGTCGAAACAACTCGTCCAGTTCTGTAACCAAGTCTCCAAACTCGAGGATCTTTTTACGCCCGAGACAACGAGCGATGCCAATGCAGTACCAGTCACTGCCGTATATGTTCCAAACTGGCTTCGATTCCAGTACCTGATCAATATCCTTGAAAGCTCTCTCGCCGATATCAAATTTCTTTGGTTGGAAGGTGAATTGGGTCTGGAGTTCTCTATAGAGGAGGTGGTCGATCTCATTGAGGCTCTGTTTGCCGAGTCCGATTATCGACGTCGGGCTATTTCAGAGATTCGTCGAGCTCCGAGAGGATGAGATGCATCAGCGAGATAGTTCATTTCATAGCAAATATTCACAAAGTCATATTTTCCATCAACTTCAACTCGCTAAAAGTACCTCAGTAGAAGCGTAGTGGGCGGGGCGATCTCCGCGCTTTGCACTAGTGTGCCGCACCGGTCACCGTATTTTTTCCTCATCGACCCGCACAGGCTTGTCCATTTTGCGACAGCCATCTGCAGCGACTACCGATCGCATTTTGCACGAATTCTCGCCCATAATGAGTGACGATCAAGGATCTGCTACCGAGCCTGTGCAGAGACAGGTTCGTGTGCAGCTCACGAGCAAACAGGAGGACATTGCCCTTCCTGAATCCACCGGTCCAATTCTCGTGCCTACTGGTAAGAACAATTTGAAACCTGTATGTGCTGAAGATGAAAATGTGCTGATACCCTGTTTTTCACAGGCCTGCGACGTTATGCGCTGTCGACATTGGTGAACAACCTTCTGAGCAGCGAGAAGCCGATCCCATTCGAATTTTTGATCAACGGAACTTTTTTGCGTACCTCGATCGATGAATACCTGAGTGCCAATGGCATCTCCTCTGAGACGACTCTTGAGATTGAATATGTTCGCGCTTTGATTCCCCCGCTTCACATTGCCTCGTTCCAGCACGATGACTGGGTCAGCGCAACCGATGTGCTCTCTGCAACTGCACCCGCCGCAACCTGGGCCTCTGGCGCTACTTTCTCCAAGGGCCAAGAGAGAATTCTTTCCGGTTCTTATGATGGATTCCTTCGTGTTTGGAACATGTCCTCTGAGACTATTGCCACTTCCCCTGCTGCCACCGAGGGTGGGCACACGGCCTCTATCAAGGCTGCCAAATTCGTGTCTCCCAACCAGATCGCTTCGGCTTCCCTGGACCGCACCGTTAGACTGTGGAAGTACACCGAGGAGGCTGATGGCTTCTCTGGAAAGATTGCTCCTCAGCTCGAGCTCTATGGCCACAAATCCGGAATCGAGTCTTTGGCCGTGAATGCGCCATCTAACCGTCTCCTGACTGGCTCGTCCGATAACAACGTTGGATTCTGGAGCACCAAGAAGGCTGATGCTCCTGCTGCTCCGGAAAACTTGCTTCCTTCTAACGCTGCTCGCAACTCCAAGCGACGCAAGCTGAACTCCTCTGTCAGCACAGCGCAACGCGGTCCTCTGGCCCTTCTTTCGGCTCACACCGGCCCCGTTTCGGCTGCCATCTTCGACGCTAGAGATTCCACCGTTGGATACTCTGCGTCTTGGGACCACTCCCTCCGCACTTGGGATCTGGTTACCGCTTCCCTGGTTGACACTCGTACTACTGCACACTCACTTCTCTCTCTGGAGCACCTTCCCGACCACAACCTTCTCGCAGCTGGTACCTCTGCTCGCCACATCACTATGATTGATCCCCGTGCCTCTGCTACAACCGTTGCTGCTATGACTCTCCGTGGCCACACCAACGCTGTTGTCAGCTTGGCCCGTGACCCACACAGCTCCCACGGTCTAATTTCTGGTTCCCACGATGGGACTGTGCGCCTGTGGGACTTGCGGAGCACCAAGACCGACAAGGAAGGCATTGTCGGTGAGAGTGTGTACTCCATTCCCCGCAAGAGTCTCGAGGATGAAGGCAAGGCGGACTCCAAGCGTGTCGGAGGAGAAGGCGTCAAGGTGTTCAGTGTGTGCTGGGACGAAACCGTGGGCATTGTGAGCGCGGGTGAAGACAAGCGGATCCAGATCAACCGCGGTGAGGGTGTTCTGTCCTCGGCAAAGGAGTAGACTTGCGCATACGGGCAACGGCGTTTTTAGATTGTGGTTTTGTGTCAAAAAGTTTCCGTCTCGTTTCCAAGGTTCCCTTTGTTTGCAGCTTAATTTAGCCTATGGATGTGGATATATAGTACTATTTCAGATGTAAATCTACTGTTACTATTACTACATCAAACACAGATGTGAAGGGAGTTTTCCAATTCGTATTTTGAACGAGATATAATACATTGATAGAGGGTAAATTCACACATAAGCTGGCATGTAACCGTATGCCAGCAATCAAGAAAAACGCCATTTCCATGCCTCTCACAACACTGTGAGATTATCCGATAACGTTTTAAAGAACAAAGTCAAGGCCTGGAACTCTTGACTTACATACGACGCTCCATGCGGTTCAGCTTGACAGGAGTTTTGATCTGAATTGAATTGTTAGCTTTGCATTTCCACGCAGACTCTTCGGCCAATCCATGAGGTTTTGGGTTATTTGCCGGCTGGTATGAGGTATTCCAGTCGATTTCAAGCCCAAATTTGCCATGCCATAGCCACCAGAGCAAAATATCGGAAGTAAACCTACCTGGGTGCGGGTACGCTGTCCGCGAACAGGAAGACCCAAAGCATGACGACGGCCACGGTATGTTCCGGTCTCCTTCAGACGCTTGATATCGTTCACAACCTCTCTGCGCAGATCATTCTCAATCTTCATGTCCGACAAGACGGCGGTCATGTCAAGAACCTGCTTGTTGGCCAGCTCGCCGACTCGGCAGGTCGGGTGGATGTTGAAGCGGGCTAGGAGGCGGGAGGAGGTATGGTTGCCGATACCGAAGAAGGACTCAAGAGACTTCTATAAAGTGCAGATTTAAGTTAGTTTGCGGGCCAATTGGTCGAGACCCGGGGGTCGTGTTGGGGGGTGAGGGCAGAAGTGTTGCTTGCCTTGAGCAGGTTCCGCTCGGGGAAGTTGACGCCGAGGATGAAGACCTTGAAGCTTGTTAGGAAGATGTTAAATCGAGAGGGACTTTGGAAAAGACTGTACCATCTTGCCGGGTAATAGATTGTCTGATTGATTGATACTCGGTTCAATTGACGCTTGTCCGCGATGCGCGGGAGAAATCATCCGGCAAGAACGTTTCTCCGACGAGTGGCCCTCTCCGCATGCCATTGCAAGCTGGCCTCCACTTCTCGCTCCTTCACCACATCTACCCAGAGTAGTGGCAATTCGCAATCATGAATTTCCGCAACCTCTTTCTCTCCCTTTTCCTGGTCCTTGCGGTCAGCTTCGCGCTGGTCCAGGCCGAAGATGCTCAGAAGGAACCTCGTGGTCCCAAGATCACCAACAAGGTATCTCACAATAGTCTCCATCGCTCTGCTACCAATGCTAATTAATTGCTGCAGGTCTACTTCGATGTTAACCATGGAGACGAGTCCATGGGCCGAATTGTTATGGGTCTTTACGGCAAGACTGTCCCAGAGGTTAGTTACACTCCGGAGTCATGCATGAGAATGCCATTAACACTACTCGTTTGCCCTTAGACCGCTGAGAACTTCCGGTAAGACGATTGCGACGAAACCATTTGGCTTCTCCATGGATCAATTCTAATACTTCTTCAGCGCTCTGGCTACCGGTGAGAAGGGCTTTGGTTACGAGGGCTCCTCTTTCCACCGTGTGATTAAGGACTTCATGATCCAGGGTGGTGACTTCACCAACGGTGACGGTTTGTATCCTTCCTGCCCATGGACAACTACGGAGAGTACTGATGCATAATGCAGGCACTGGTGGCAAGTCTATCTATGGTAACAAGTTCAAGGACGAGAACTTCAAGCTTCGCCACACCAAGAAGGGCCAACTGAGTATGCAATCCCTCTTGGTGATTACATTGTTTGAAAGATCGTGAAAACTGACGATATCTTAGGCATGGCCAACGCTGGCAAGGACACCAACGGCTCCCAGTTTTTTATTACCACCATCATCACCTCGTGGCTCGATGGCCGCCACGTTGTATTTGGTGAGGTCCTTGAGGGCTACGACATTGTCGACAAGATCCAGAATGTCGACAAGGCTCGTGGTGACAAGCCCTCGACCCCCGTCACGATCGTGAAGAGTGGCGAGCTGGAGTTTGAGGCTGAAGCCGAGGATGTCAAGGCCGATGATAAAGGTAGCCGCGATGAGCTGTAAATCAGCAGTTGGGCCCTCGCTCTGCTCTTCTGCTCCTGGTTGAAGGTGGCTGATGATACTTGCTCCCCTAAGAATCCAACCCCGCCCCGACGCCAGCTCCCGAAATTCTTTCCTCGTTGGAGGCGTCGCCCTCTTACCCAATGCAGCCTGTCTGGATCCTGTTCGGACTGATTGTCTTGGTGGGTATCTATGTTTGCCGCCGCAACATCCGCCAGCAGCAGCAACAACAGAACAGTGAGAAAAAGGAATTTGATGCTTAAGTGAAGTGCAGATAACCGATAGCCTAAGAATATAGCACATTTGGAAGAATCCATTACATTTTGAACATGCAAGATTGGAGGATCAACATGACATCAGCGATGGTCGCACTCCCACATAAGCCTCCGTACATGTACATGTATGTACTTTGTTTCAAGCTGCGTAGATCACAGTCATCGGGTCCGCTTTTGGGTGAGCCAATCATCATCTTGGCCACCTTACTTAGTCAATCCCCCCTATGGGGCTAGACTACCAGTGGTTACTTTAGTACGAAAAAAAAACTCTGAGGTACGGTGTATTACCGGTTTCGGTACTTGCCTTTGGCCTGACCATTGGTCACTATAAAAGTTCCTATGCAGCCCTGATACAAACACCATACGAACAGTACCTGGCTCTACCACCGGACACACAGGCCACAGCACGGTGACCCCGTAACCCGTGAAGTACATGATTTGCCTCCTTCCCACAGACCGCAGAAAACCTCCCTCTTCATCATCCCTTTCTCACCACTCCACTCATCTTTCTCTTCTTTCTTCTCGGTGCTCATAGAGTATTTAGAACTGGGAGGATTTGCATTTTCGTCCTTCTCTTACCCCTCTCTTGTTAATTTTTGTCTCTCACTTTTCTCTAAGTGGGAAAAAAAAACGAGAGCACTCTTCATTCCGCCTTCTCTCGTCTCTTGAAGGTATTACATTCTCTTCTTTGCAAGTGTCGCTTTTATTCGATCGCTTGCATCTTATCGACTCTGAGAATCTCAGTTCAGTGATTTTTTTACCAAAAAAACTGTTCGCATTCCCAAACCTTGATTCCTTTTCTCTCACCCCTCGAAAAAAAAAAAAATCCCACAGCCCACCCAACGACCTGTTACTGATCAACCATCTTCTTCGGTGATAGAAATCCTCCAACCACACGCAAATATGGCCGACGGACTTCAAATGGGCAACTTGTCCATCAACGACTCCCAGCACGCCCCCCAGGGTAACGGACCCCCTGGCCGTGCCGCTTATATCCCTCCTCACCTTCGTGGCCGCCCTAACATGGATGGTGCCGCTCCTCCTCCTGGCCCCGGTGCCGGTGCTCCTCGGTACGATACCTCAAACCCCCCCATGCCTGCAGACAGCCACTAATTCTTCGGTTTTCAGCGGCGGTCCTCGCGGCAACTGGGCTAATGCTAACGCTCCTGACTTCAGCCCTCGTCCCGCCAACGGTAATTCAACCTGGAACCCAGATGGTCGAGCCCCCCCGGCCCTTCGATCCCCATGCTTACGGACATCCAGGAAGTGCAGGTGGCAGTGGTGGTGGTGGCTACGCTGGTGCTGGTGCCTCTGCCCGCGGTTCGGGAGATGGCCAGTGGCGCGACGGAAAGCACGTCGCCGGTCCCGCCAACGCTCGTGTCGAGCGCGAACTTTTCGGTGTCCCCAACGACCCTACCAAGCAGCAAACCGGTATCAACTTCTCCAACTACGACGATATCCCCGTTGAGGCTTCCGGCCAAGATGTTCCCGAGCCCGTTAACGCTTTCACCAACCCCCCCTCTTGATGACCACCTGATCACCAACATCAAGCTCGCCAGCTATGTTGTCCCCACTCCCGTCCAGAAGTACTCGATCCCCATTGTCATGAACGGTCGCGATCTGATGGCTTGTGCCCAGACCGGTTCCGGAAAGACCGGTGGTTTCCTTTTCCCCATTCTCTCCCAGGCTTTCCAGACCGGTCCCTCTGCTGCCCCCCAACAGGCTTCTGGTCAGTTCAGCTACGGCCGTCAGCGCAAGGCCTACCCCACCTCCCTTATCCTCGCTCCCACTCGTGAGCTGGTCTCCCAGATCTTTGACGAATCACGCAAGTTCGCCTACCGTTCGTGGGTCCGCCCCTGTGTCGTCTACGGTGGTGCCGACATTGGCTCCCAGCTGCGCCAGATCGAGCGTGGTTGCGATCTGCTCGTTGCCACCCCCGGTCGTCTGGTCGATCTGATTGAGCGTGGCCGTATCTCCCTTATTAACATCAAGTACTTGGTTCTTGATGAGGCTGATCGCATGCTGGACATGGGTTTCGAGCCCCAAATTCGCCGCATTGTCGAGGGTGAGGATATGCCTCGCGTAGAGGACCGCCAGACTCTCATGTTCTCGGCCACCTTCCCCCGTGATATCCAGATGCTGGCCCGTGACTTCCTGAAGGACTACATTTTCCTGTCGGTTGGCCGTGTCGGTTCTACCTCCGAGAACATTACCCAGAAGGTCGAGTACGTCGAGGATCACGACAAGCGCTCCGTTCTGCTGGATATCCTCCACACTCACGGCACGACTGGCCTGACCCTGATCTTCGTCGAGACCAAGCGCATGGCCGACTCCCTCTCCGACTTCCTGATCAACCAGCGCTTCCCTGCCACTGCCATTCACGGTGACCGCACCCAGCGTGAGCGTGAGCGTGCTCTGGAGTTCTTCCGTAACGGTCGCTGCCCCATCCTGGTCGCCACTGCCGTTGCTGCTCGTGGTCTTGATATTCCTAACGTCACTCACGTCATCAACTACGATTTGCCCACTGACATCGATGACTACGTTCACCGTATCGGTCGTACCGGTCGTGCTGGTAACACTGGTATTGCCACCGCTTTCTTCAACCGTGGCAACCGTGGTGTCGTTCGTGACCTTCTTGATCTCCTTAAGGAAGCTCACCAGGAGGTTCCCGCTTTCCTTGAGAGCATTGCTCGTGAGGGCAGCAGCTTTGGCGGTCGTGGTGGCCGTGGCGGTCGTGGCCGTGGTGGCTCCACCGCCACTCGCGATGTTCGTCGCCTACCTCCCTCCGCTGGCGGCTTCGGCAGCGGCTACAGCTCTACCCCCTCTTACGGCGGCAGTGGTGGTAGCTACGGCGGCGGAGCCCCGTCTTACGGCGGTAGCGGTGGCGGCTATGGCGGTAGCGGCGGTGGCTACGGCGGCGGCGGCGGCGGCGGCGGCAGCTACGGCAACCCCTCTGGCGCTGGTGGCCCCTCTTCCTGGTGGTAAACCAGTCGTGGTCTGATGATATGGCCGTCGGGTCTGATTGGCTCCCATTTCTTATTTCCTTATTGTCTTTCATTGACGGATACGATCAGAACGAACCCCTGAGCTCTTTTCTCCTCGCTATATCTCGGGGACGGCTTTGTCATGACTGCGACGACTTTCCTATGCTTTTCTAGATTTTACGCTGTTTCTGTCTCCTTATTGCTCGCATTTGTTTGGCTTTTCCTTTTATCTTTTCCTGTACTTGCTTTTTTTCATTTCGCACGTTTTCCACGGCTCTCAATCGGCCTTGTTTAAACACGGGGCGTTCGAGCAGTTCTGATCTCCTTTTTGTTGCTCATGGTCATCTATGATGACGATTTCTTTCCTCTTCGAGCAACCGGCGATTGGCACTGCATGAACATCATAGAATGCGTTGTCTTTTCTGTGTCCGCTCTCATCAGATACCCCTTTTTTCGAGCTATCCCAATGGGGATAATATTCGAATGACGCGCGCGCCGAGCAGGAGAATGCCGGCTTTTCATCTCCCTCGAAAAGTGATCTTTTATATCTGCATCCATCTTCTCGGTGCTGTCATGGCTGACAGCGTCGGTATCTCGTGGCGGACCTTTTCTTTAATGCGTTGCTGCAACCCTCGTGTGTGTCGCGTTTCTTCTCGCAAACCAAAAACCGCGCTTTCTTTCTCCGGGCTTTGCTTTTTTTTTAGAATTTTTACAGGTGTGCAACCGTCGGCGATGGGGTGCTTATCATGACTCTTTCTGGTTCGGATATCTATTTACTTCGTCGTTGAGGTCGCCTGGTGGAGGGGTTTCGAACGGGAATTCTTTTGCATTCTGTATGGCGTTGGCTTGACTGCATCCACATGTCCTCTGGGTCCCCGCGGAGGCTTAATGGTTTCCTCATGGGTTCTCTTCATATCTCCTTGACTTTTTTACGGATCCGGGAGGATGGGACGCTGTCACCGGCGCTGAATGACTCGCTCACCGGTATCATGGTTTCCATCCGCGCATGGAATGGCCTGGTAGGAAGAGCGAGCGAGGCCGCGAGTTTGAAAGCCGTCTGATTTCAATTTCAACGTTATTTGAAAAGTTGTTCCTATTTGATTCTCGTAGATTTTCTCTTATAGTAGGTTTGAATGCCCTTGCGTAGAGTTCAACCAATATACACATGACGGTGTAAGCATGACTTTACTTCACCCATCTCATTTAGTATTGATACTACGTTATTTTTAAAAACTCGGAACAGGAACCATTTATATAATTTAATTTTATTTAAAAAGGAACAAGAACCAATAAATACAACAGGAGAATGCAAGCTTGAAATATCAAAGTTGCATTGTACTACTTACTATACTCGTAGTGCACCCTCTGCTCACTGTGGTACTCCGCCTCCCAGATGCGGGTAGCTATCACTCCCGCAGGCTAAAGTTCACAATTGCGGCTTCGTCCCTTCCGGCTTTTCCTCTTCCTCTTCACCCTATCCAATCCTCTCCTCGCTTATCCTTTCCCCTCCTTCACCCTTCACTCTTCGACCCCCGACCCGTCCATCTTCCTCATCCATCCTTTCTTGGTCGCCTTCCATTTAGGGGCGCCGTCACTGCCCCCGACATCGTTTTCCCCCGGATCTCAGGAGCTTTCACAACCACACACAAAGCGACTCCCTTGATTGTCATCCACACTCAATATGGCCGAGGTCGAAACCCCGGCAATGGATGAATCCTTTGCTGCTTCCGAAGTAGCAGACGACCATGCACACGGCTCAACGGCCAGCGCGACGGTCGGTACAAGACGCCAGGCAAATGGTACGATTGGTTCCGTCTACTCTGGAAACAAGATTCGACATTTGAAAAAGGAGGATGGTATCCCCCTCTGGCGAAAAGATATCCAATACCAATTCCTCAAACTCGTCTTCGAAGACAAGACCCCCGTCTTCACGCGATACCCCGACGGAGAGAAGAAGATGGACTTTGCCGACATCTACATCGACGCGATGGCGAGGAGCAGCAAGACAAGTAAGATCTTGAAGGACAAACTACAAAATGATAAGCCCGCGGCTATCAGCATGGCGATGGTGTGCCTGCTGGTGAATTTTGGTCGCATGAACACAACTCTTAACTGTGAATTCCTCCATTCTCCCTGGATTTGTCGCACTACTAACCACTTCGTCTTTTCTACATTACAGTTTTCCCCGAAATGCGTGCTCAATTACGAACCTACCACTCCATCCCTTCCCTCCAGGCTCACCAGGACTCCAATGCCTATAAGCAACTGCAGGATGCTCCGCGTTTAAAATCCATCCTTAAGGGCGCCTCCGAGGATGTCGATCAGCCAAACACTTTGGAAAAGATCAAGCAGCTGAATGGGCCCCGAACGAACCCTGTCAACCTTATCTTTGTCCTGGCACAATATGCCCCTAAAGTCTCGGAAACGCATTTCTTCCCTCCGCGCGATTTCTTCGATTTGGTCATGCGATCCACACTGAGTAGCGAAAGCCGTGCTAGGGCTTTCCTGTGGTTGATGTGGTGGTATCTGGAGAGCGATTTCAGCCGTGAAGCCGCTTTGAACAATCCGTTTGGTCCCGGTCTAGAAGGAGACGGTGCTGACGGCTTGCCTCTGAAGGTTCCCGCTTTCGAGAGCTTAACAGAGGAGCAGGCGAATGAGGAAAACATTGACACTCCAGAGGAACTGGAGTATGGGGAATCTAAAAGGCTCGAACGAAAGCGTATTTTGGAGGATGAAGAACCACTTCCCCGAGTACCAAAACGTCAGAAGAAGGGTACGATATTATGCATGCATTGCGTTTGGTACCTTTACTAACTCGCTTTTTCCGCAATAGATTTCGGTCTGGATGAAGACTCTTTTGCGGGAGACTACTCTGGTTTAGGAGGTCGAGGCTCTGCCATGTCTACACCTCTCCATCCTTCTGCGAAGCGCAGTCTGGATGACGAGGATGATGAGTTGACCCCCGGAAACTCCTCTCGGCCACGCAACAAGCAGGCAAAGCGGGAATCATCTCTCAACCGAGCTGTCGGCCAGCAACGACTAATTTTGAAGACAAGAATGGATCACACCCCTGATGCTTCGCCTGCTCCTCCGGGTTCTAACCATCCGGTATTGAACCGTTTCATTGCCGAGCCTTCACTTTCACAGGCTCCAGGCCGTCGGCCACGTCCCCTTACACAGCACCAAATTGCGGTTGAGCAAAACCGTCGTCAACGCATTGAATATCTATTGGCTAAGCGGAGGGCTACCTCATACCGCATGCTTCGTTCTAAGCGCAATGCCGAAACCCCTTTTGTCCGATACGGACGCCTGGTGCAGGGGCTACCGGAGGGTTACGACACCGAAGATGAAGAGACCTCCTGGGGCAAAGGTGGTCTTCTTCCCAATCCCAATGAAGAAGACGACTACGGCGAGTGCGCTAGTTTCTTCCTCTCCGTGGTTCGAAAAGCAGCTCGGCGACTTGATCGTTGGGACTACGAGGATGCCAACGGTCCGAGGAAAGACCGCCTGAAAGAGCGCGAGGAGCGGCAGATAGCTAAAGCTGCCATGGAGGCAGATGTCCGAGCTGCAAGCAACCGAGCTCGCGCACGCCCTGCGCGTGGTGGTGCTGCTTCCAAGCGAAAGTCTACTGGAACTGGGGCCGCGCCCGGAACAGGCAAAAAGACGGCCACAGGACGCTTGAAGGGTGGTCGCAGCCGCCCCTCTGGCGTGGCTGGTGCTGCCTCCGCTGCGGACACGCCGTCTTGGTACCCCGACAACGGAGAGGTGGAAGGAGAGTTGGATGATTTGGACCGTGAACTTCTAGGTGAGGGTTCTGCCGATGAAGACGGTGCCCCTCGTGCTGGAGACGATGGCGATTCTTCTGATGAATCTGCAGATGATGATGGGGACGAGGATGAGAACCTGTCCACCTATGACGGGCCTAACGGCTACGCACGCCACGAGAGTTCGTCCCCTGTGCCGTCAGGGGCAGCTGAACGACGCGAAGACGGAGACGAGGCGATGGAGGAATAAATCCACTCGGAAATTGGCGTTTTCTTTTTCTATTTGTTTCATGAGATAATATTGCTGGACGAACCCATGGATTGTGAATTTCTAGGTAACTGGGGGCTTTCGATATTTGTGCTGGACTGTACACTCTTTGGGCGATGATGGTGCCCTTGATATGTATTCTCCTATGTTTTTTTTTTCTCTATCTTGTGCTTTCATCTATGAATGACAGCATCTGTGAATTCACCGACAGCTTGTCACTTTTCTCCCAATACCTCAAAGCTAGTATCTTTTTATCTGATACAGAATCGAGAGACCGAGGATGGAGCATTCAGTCGGGCTTGTTATTACCTCAGATATAACCAGGGTCTGGCCAGGGCACATGTCGAAGTTGTAGCGTATTTATAAATCGGAAGCCATCATGGATTATTTGTTTAGGAGAATTGACCGAATTAGCCCCGCACTAGTATGTTTTGAGGATTTTATAATTACTATAATTTGATACGACTTGATAACTATTAAGATAAATACGAGAGTATTTGTATATCACCACAATCTGCTAGCAATCCCATCTCTACACAACACTATTGTAAAGAAATGGTCGCTGTTCACTTTCTATTGTTGATAGCATAGGGTTGAAATCGGCCGAAATCTAAATTCGAACGAGTTCACGTCGGATATCAAATGAACTACAGTACTACGATGGCCGAGCTGCTAGTCTCAATCGAAGCTCATCTGACTGAAAGGTATTCTTGTAGCAGTGTAAGGATTTATTTTCAAGTCGAAGCTCTAGTTGATCTTTTTCTCTCAGTGTTAAAACGATAGGGCCTACCATTACATGGGATACGGAACTCTCCTAGCCGACATCATATGTCCACAACTTTGGTACGATTCAAGACCGTACTAGTAGCTTGGGCAGCGTTGAAACATTTTTATGTCGCAGAGCTCCTTCCAAACCGAATTGTTTGTTCGATATGCTCTTTTAAACTGGTCAAGGTGGTGGTGAAGCTGGAATTAGCAACCGGCCACAGCCCACTCACACTCCTGGTGATGGAGACAAAAGTCCCGCGCATATCTGATGGATGCTTTTGTTTCCCTCCCCCCAGAGACCTGCGGGGTTCTCAATTATATCCACTGCAGCAAAGGACACGTATGATGCCACTGGGCCGTGTCTTGTCTCCCCCACAGTGACATCGTATAGCTGCAGCTGCATGACTGACCTTCATTGCATGTGACGGCCCCTCATCTTCGCCTCTTATTTCCCCGTCATTCATGTCCTGATGACCTCTGTTCTGTGTATTGCCCCCTCCAATCTCCAGTATGTGGGAGATGTACATACCGAGAATTGGAGGGGGTTGGCTAAGGGTCTCTGGGGATCATCCACCGATTCACCGATAGCTCTGTGGATTCAGTGAAGTCATGAAATGTAGTAGCCCCACAGCCTTCGGGATCAGCCAGTCTCAAGTGCAAGCGCCCAGGCTACTCGTCAAGGGGAGGTCCAAACTAAAAAAGGCAAAGAGCCCCTAAAGAGGTACGTGAGGAGTGGCCAACGGCAGCGGGGGCATTCATAAGGAGTTTGTCAGAGTCAAAAGTTCGCCGCGGACCACTTTCCTCCCGCTCTGACGTCTTCTCTCCTCCCCAACACTTTTTCTCTGGCGCCATCTTTGCAGCTTTCTGCCCAACACTCAATCGATCACCTTGCAAGTCTTCTTACCTCTGGATCCTTTCTCCTTCAAGTTCCACCTGTGTAAGACATCTCATGCCTCTTCCCTCATCCCTCCGATAGAATCCCATTTCTCGCTGTGCCTCCTATCAGTCTGGCTATCGACTTGTCGAGAATTCTTGACCAACAATCCATTCTCTAGGACGCGACTATATTCACCAGTACACGATGGTGGATTCACCTCGCATCTTGCGGCCACGTCCCCGCCGCATGTTTGACGTGACCCCTGCATCCAATGAGTCCTCCGAGCCCGCAACACCCGCCGAAGCATCCAACTCGGACTTGCTGAGCCCCAACCTCCAAGATGGCGAATCGAACTCGACCAGCGTTAGCCGTACCGGCTCAATCCTGAATCTGACCTCCTCGACCCTCTACGGCATTTATAAGCCCACCGCATTCGATAGCTATCGGGATGAGTCCAGCCCTTGGGGCACAGAAGCCCACACACCTGTCTCCGAATATCCCCCCCGAGCCCTCGCAACAGGCGGCTGTGAAAACCGCCACAGAGCCCCGTGAGTTTGCACTGCGACGTACGCGTTCGCGACTCAGCCATGGGATGTTTCGCGGAGTGATTCTGCCCCAGGCGCTGAGCAGTGCGCTACTGTTTGGATTCGGTATTGTTTACGGGGTGATCACCATTAATCTGCATGACAATCACTGGATCACACCCGTGAAGCTGGAGAATGTCCACTACTACGACTCATGGCAATATCTCGGATTCTGGGGGTTGGCAGGCATCGCTTTGGGCAATGTTTTGCCTTGGCTGGACAGCTGGCGTGAACGCGAGCTCGAAGATGCCGACAAGTCCAAGCGTGCGCGCAATGAGGATAATGACCAAGAGCGTACCCCGTCTTGGGTAACTGTGGCACGAAGTGTTGGAGCCTTCGTCGGTATCGCCTTTGCCATGGTATGTCCGAACTTTTCCTGAATGTCTCCAGTAGCTCTTTGCTAATGTTTTTGGTTTTTTTTCAAAGCGACGACTTCCCTGGGAATCCACTACACAAGCTTCGATGACCCTCGCCCTGGCAAACCCTGTCCTCTGGTACCTCATCGACCGAACTTCCACTGGCTTCCTCCTGTCGACATTTGTTGGTGTGACCGGGATGAGTGCTGTTTTGGGCCTCAAGCCTGAACTGATCCCTGCCTCTACTGGGCCCTCGGTGGGCTCTTCGCTACTGAATGGGACTGGATGGGAGAACACCCTCGGAGCTGGAGTCACGCAGGAGAGCATTGCGGTTCGCACCTGGGTTGCCAGCGTCATTTTCTGCGCATGCGTCTGCTTCGGAAACATTGGTCGCCAGCTGGCAATCGGAGCTGGAAGCAAAGATACCCTGAAGCCTTGAAGCAAACAGTGCACAAGGGAATGTATCGATCACATCAAAGTCCAGGACAATATTTTGGAATAAGGAGGAACATTATTATCAGAACTTGTAATTTGAAATCAAATCTTTATACAGAGATTTCTTCATTGAATAGAATTGTAATAAAATAAAATAGGAGGCTACGGGTCTTTAAAATTCTGATTTGTTCCACTCCCAACATTAAAGAGCATTTTGTGTTTCCAAAAAGGATTGTAGTGTCAATCATTGCAGTTCCTGCCATTTGACACGATGGTCAGGCAGATACTGCACCCAAGATCGACTCTGTGTGACTTGCACACTCGGTCTCCATTCTCTATGACGATTTCCTGGCTTCCTAGGACGGATCCTCAGCGGAACGCTTTTTGAGAAGAATGTGATTATTTTGCGTTGTTCATGAAGAAAAAAAAAGAAAAGAGGAAATGCGCGCGCCCGCGAAAACCTTTTGAACCGCTGTGTCATGTGACTGCTGAGTCATCGTTTACTAGCTTGAGTAACTTGCCTGAAATTCGTGGCGGCTAGCAACCCACCACCCCCGCGCCGATTGCGGCCAAAAGCCCCTCCAGCGGGACAGAATTATTTCTTTTCTTCACTTCAGCTGTACCCCCGTTGCTATTTGGATTCAGGTATGTGCACCCCAACTTCAATTGTATCATCAATTGAAACCCCCGCTTGATATTTCTGTATGCTAATTACCCTCAGTGTCGACATCATGTCTCAGAAGTCCGGTAAGGCACCTCTTAGCCTCGATGTCACTTCCCCAAACTACTGCACAATAGTCTGGGGTTCCCGCTCAAACACGATGCTGATGCTCTCTTGTTTCCCTCCCCAACAGCTATCATCTCCGTCTATGACAAGACTGGACTGCTCGACCTGGCCAAGGGCCTGGTCCAGCAGAAGGTCCGTCTTCTTGCCTCTGGCGGTACCGCCAAGATGATCCGTGAGGCCGGCTTCCCTGTCGAGTAAGTCCCTCTAAAGACGTCATTACCATTCAAATATGGGAAGAGGCATTTTCATAAGCACCAAAGTGGCTTTTGATAGTCTGTGGTCGGCATTAAATGCTAACAATTGCTTTGCAGGGACGTCTCTGCCATCACCCACGCCCCCGAGATGCTAGGTGGCCGCGTCAAGACCCTCCACCCCGCCGTCCACGGCGGTATCCTCGCCCGTGACATCGAATCCGATGAGAAGGACCTTGCTGAGCAGAACATCTCCAAGGTAGACTTCGTCGTTTGCAACCTGTACCCCTTCAAGGAGACCGTCGCCAAGGTCAACGTCACCATCGATGAGGCTGTCGAAGAGGTTGATATTGGCGGTGTCACTCTGCTGCGTGCCGCGGCCAAGAACCACAAGCGTGTCACCATTCTGTCCGATCCCAACGACTACCCTGAGTTCCTCAAGGAGCTTGAGGCTGGTGAGATCACCGAGCCCAGCCGCAAGCTGTATGCCCTCAAGGCCTTCGAGCAGACTGCCGACTACGACTCGGCCATCTCAGGCTTCTTCCGCAAGGAGTACGCCGGCAACGGTGTTTCGCAGCTCTCCCTCCGCTACGGCACCAACCCCCACCAGAAGCCCGCCTCCGCCTTCATGCCCCAAGGCAAGCTGCCTTTCAAGGTCCTGAACGGCTCACCTGGCTACGTTAACCTGCTCGATGCTCTCAACGCCTGGCCCTTGGTCAAGGAGCTCAAGCAGGCTCTTGGCTTCCCCGCCGCTGCCAGCTTCAAGCACGTCTCTCCCGCCGGTGCTGCAATTGGTGTTCCTCTGAACGAGAAGGAGCGCAAGGTCTACATGGTTGATGACATCAAGGACATTGAGTCCTCCGGTCTTGCTCAGGCCTATGCCCGTGCCCGCGGTGCTGACCGCATGTCCAGCTTCGGTGATATTCTCGCCCTGAGCGACATCGTCGATACCCCCACTGCCAAGATCATCTCTCGTGAGGTCTCCGACGGTGTCATCGCTGCCGGATATGAGCCCGAGGCTCTCGCTATCCTGTCCAAGAAGAAGGGCGGCAAGTACCTTGTTCTGCAGATGGATGAGGACTACACTCCCGCTCCTGAGGAGAACCGCACTCTGTACGGTGTGCAGCTCACTCAGCACCGCAACGATGTTGTCATCTCCCCCAGCAAGACCTTTGGCAACATCATCACCCCTAAGGGCTCCGCTGCCCTTCCCGAGGCTGCTCTGCGTGACCTGACTGTGGCTACTATCGCCCTGAAGTACACTCAGTCCAACTCGGTCTGCTACGCCCTGAACGGTCAAATCGTCGGTCTGGGTGCTGGCCAGCAAAGCCGTATCCACTGCACCCGTCTGGCCGGTGACAAGGCCGACAACTGGTGGATGCGCTTCCACGACCGTGTCATCAACATCAAGTGGAAGCAGGGTACCAAGCGTGCCGACAAGAGCAACGCCATCGACCTGCTCTGCTCTGGCCAGACCCCCCCGCAGCGAGGCCGAGACCGTCGAGTACGAGCGTGTCTTTGAGGAGGTCCCCGCTCCCTTCACCCAGGAGGAGCGCGAGGCCTGGCTCCAGAAGCTCAGTGAGGTTGCTGTTTCGTCTGATGCTTTCGTAAGTTCTCCCATCGCCGTTTCAGGCTTTTATGCATTTTTTTTAGATATGCAGTGCTAACCGTGATATCTTCAGTTCCCCTTCATCGACAACGTCTTCCGCGCTGCCCGCTCTGGTGTTAAGTACATTGCTGCCCCTACTGGTAGCCAAAACGATACCCCTGTCTTCGAGACTGCTGAGAAGCTTGGCATCACTTTCGTGGAACAGGGTGTCCGCCTTTTCCACCACTAAATGTTCATTGCGGATTTGGAATAATAATTCGAACGCATTTCGGTTCAAAAAAAAAGATACTTAGTTTATGATGATGATAGCTTTCTTGTTTATTAAATAGAAATTCACATATGTTCTTGATAATTTCTGGCCAATCTTATTTATCCCTTCCCTTTTTTCAACCTCTACCCTTGGCTCTCTCAGCACTTCCCCCTCCGTTCTTCGTTAAACTGACTCGGAAGACAACGTTAAAACACTTTTTGCGAAGCTAATATAACGGGATCCACCACAGGTCTCTTAATTTAACACGAATCGGACGTGGTTTTTGTTATCATGAGGACAATTAAGGTTTTTAAGTCCCAACTGACCCTTGTTGCACAAATTACTAGGACCAGAATAATGATTGAACCATGGCCGCACAAAGCCTTGGACTTCGGGTAAACGTCCTCTGTGATACGGAGAATGGCATGCGCAGTGCACAAGAAACAATGGTGAGAAAAGACTGAGTAGGGTAGTATTCAGGGCCAAGTATTCAGCAAAATCCGGAAGGGCAAATCCCTTGCCTCTTATAATACGGAATGAAGGGAGGGTAAACAAGTTAGACCTTGGATAGTTGCGATACAAATGCTCAAGTCAATTTCAATTTGACTTAGATTCCTATGTTTCAAATGAAAATGATGCTTTTCGTATGTTAACTTGTGTTGGAATTCTTACAGGTCAATGGGTATAGGTCTATTGGCTCGGCGCAAATGAAGCCCATTCTTTACTTGCCAACTTTAATGTTTAGACCAATCATACTATCCCTCTCCACACCTATAGCCCCAAATAAAGCCAATTTATATGCATACAGACTCACGCTAGCCATATAAATACTAGCCGAGACTTACTACATTCCTAGTAGTCCAGGTAATACACGAATGGTTTAGTAACCCCCAAAGCCTCACACACCGGAAGAATAAAGCCACAACGAATACCATGGTAGGAGCGATCAAAAGGCCAGAGAGTTTATTTAATTATGAGTGACCACGGCACTCTTAAATAGCAACCCAAAAGTCTATCCACCTGTTCAAGGCTGGATGCATATTATAATGAAGCTATTTTCACCACTATTGATACTTGGGGCTGTCTTCTTCGCCGATGTATTAGCAGCCCCAAGTCCCTGTCCTCTAGTTGGGCCCGCCTTTCCATGGCCTACGCCAAGCTCAACAAACAAACGTCTTGATACGGCGGGAAAGAAGCTTTCTGCTCTTCTCGAGCCAATTTTCAAAGCTGCTAATGGATCTACAAACTCCATCGCTGTTCAGGCCTTCGATACATTCAATGACAGCCCATTATTTCAATGGTCATATACAGCTGACAATCTCGATACCAACTTGGGTGTTAGTCATGTTGATCAAAACTCCGTGTTTCGCGTTGGAAGCGTTTCTAAGCTATGGGCTATGTATCTGTTCCTTGCGGAGGCGGGCATGGATACACTTTCGGATCCAATTGTGAAATACGTCCCTGAGTTGCAATCAGCCGTCTCGGGTGATGCAATTAATTCCGTGCAATGGGCGAATGTGACGGTTGGGGAGTTGGCGAGTCACTTAGCTGGCGTTGGGAGAGACTGTAGGTGCCTTTTTCTTTCCAAATTGAGACATCCTTCGAGAAATTCTGCTGCTAATCGTCGGTCTCTTTCAGATGGCGTCCTTGATCTTGCAGGGAACCCGTCAATGACCCAAATGGGATTTCCGGTGCTACAACCGGATGAAGTACCACCTTGCGGAAATCCTGTACCTTGTAATAGGACACGTATGTTATCGATGTCCTGGATCGTTTCGTTTTATCCATGCTAACAATCTTCCATAACAGAGTTCTTTACCGGACTTCTCCAAAGGCATCCTACGTTTCCCATATCTGCGACCCCGGTATATTCGAATGCTGCATTTCAGATTCTCGGATATGCTCTAGAGACAATAAAAAATGATACTTTTGAGAACCTTTTTGAGAGTCAGATCGTGGGAGCCCTAAACCTCAGTCACACTTTCTACACCGCACCGAGCCCGTCACTTGGAGTCATTCCACAAGGCCAAGGTTCAAATTTCTGGAATATGGATTTGGGTGATGAGAACCCGTAAGTGGGCTTATATCCATAACTATCTAGAAGATCTTCAAATCTAACACTCCATAGAGCTGGTGGAATTTACTCCTCTGCCAATGACATGGCAGCTCTTGGCCGTGCAATTCTGAACAGCACCCTTACAGATCCTCTCACAACAAGACGATGGATGAAACCTCATTCTCACACATCTTCCCTCGCCTACGCAGTCGGAGCCCCGTGGGAAATTATATCTTTTCCCGCGCCCCGCTTAATTGACCTCTACACAAAGTCCGGAGATATCGGGACCTATTCTTCAATCCTTGCATTATCTCCAGACCATGGTGTTGGCTTCACAATTCTTGTCGCAGGTACCGGCGGCCACGCTGTCGTTGCAATGGTTGCCGACCTAGTGGCACAAACCATACTGCCTGCACTAGAGTACATCGCCAAGGATCAAGCGCGCGTCCGATTCGCAGGGGCTTACTCGGCGCCTAACGGGGTGGTCAATTCTTCCATTTCAATTATCACGGACGGCGGGCCCGGTCTGAGAGTCACCAATTGGACCAGTAACTCGACGGATATGTTTCAATCACTTGCGACATTACGCGGCGCGAATGATACTTCTCAAATCACCATTCGGTTATACCCCACCGGTCTCGAGACTCCTGGGAATATCTCGTTCCGGGCGTTGATTCCGCCAGATCTGGGTTTGGCGCCTATTGGACCTTTTACTGGTTCCTGCATTACCTGGGTCACTGTTGACTCGTACATATATGGGGGTGTTGGTCTGGATGAATTTGTCTTTACGTTGGATGAAAATCTGAGTGCTACTAGTGTATCGCCTCGGGTGTTACGTATCGACTTGCAGAGACAATATAGGACTAGTGCATGAGCTGTCGAAATTCAAAGCGAAGCTGAATTTCCTTTATATTGGTTCGACGACGTGAGGCTCGGGAGAGATGTGCCAATTTGACAGAGAGATTGTATGTCAGTCTTTAATTAGTTATTTAAATGCAGTGCATACGCGAGTAAATGAATGAAAATGAAAATGAAAATTGCGATATCTCTGCCATCCCACTTATTCTCCGGGAAACGACTAATGAAGACGAGATTGTACTACTACTACTACTACTACGACGACGACGACGTGTAGTAGTAGTAGACAGATCCCTAGATACTACTAGTATATATCCAGATACCGCTGCGAGTACCACACTAGCTGCCGAGGCCCCAGGGCCTCGGGCCTGCGGCTTTGTGGCTTTCATGTTGCGTTTGTCCTTTGATAGTAGTATTTAGTGGTAGCTATTGCTCTGGGGGATTTTCCCTCCATCATCATCGATTTAATCCTCTTTGATCCGCTCCCGTCACTACTAATATAATCCTGGTTGATAGCAGAAGAGACAGCTTAGTTATTACTAAGCATACATTACTCCTCCGACGATTTCCGCTCGGGCTTCCAAGTTCCACAACAGATAGATCCACCACAGATATCCACCACACACTCCTTGATTCTCCAGTTTTATTAGACAAATCGGAGGCCACCATTCATCTTCCATCCAGCATGTTAGCTCAGGGGAAGAGCGCCGGGCTCATAACCCGGAGGACCCTGGATCGAAACCAGGACATGCTATCATACCAGATCGAGCGAGAGTATCTCGGTTGCTTTTTTTTGCTTATGGTCCGGAGGATGATAAATGGTGCTGAGGCCTGAGAGGCCTTAGGCCTACGGCTTTGTTAGCCCACACTGTTTTGTGGCCTTGATGGTCTTTTTGTGTTTGTTCTTTGATAGTAGCAGTATTTGGTGGAAGCTATTGCTATGAGGGTTTTTCCCTCCATCATCATCATTATCGATTTCATCCCATTTGGTCTGCTCCCGCCACTAAATGGCTAAATCAATGGATATGCTGTTATTTATTTATTCTTAGGGCCCACATGTCCCTAGGTTAACCAGGATATGCTATCATTTTTTTTCTTTTGTCTCCTCTACGCGCGTTGCAGAATTGAAACCCCTTGTTGGCCGCCCTCATCTCCGCCTTCTAAGGGCTGACTAGTAGCTACCTAAGATGGAACAGATAGGCCAATTTATTCCTCTTGGGTAGATACTAGTCTCGGTCAATAATGGTGGGCAATAGGAGATTTCAAACTTTTACGACGCCGCTGTAAGAGGTACGATATTTTGAATTAATTGATCACATGACCAATAAATGACAGTAACTTAGGCGCGCTGCATCAAAGTATGTAGAACAAACTACGGAATCTGCGCCAATTATGATCACATAATTTCTGATCTCCTCCTCATAACCCAGAGGACCTCTACTACCAGTGCTTCCACTGCCTCTCCCATCTCCACTTTAAATACTCACTTTCATTCTCTACCCTTCAAAAAGGCCATAGTCAAGCCAAGGAGTACTCACTCGACGTATCTCGTTGTAGATAATCCTGGCCGTAGAGCCGTCGAGACCCCACAGGCACCATGTTAAGTCATCTGTTCCTCACCTATACGCTACTCACACAGTCTCTGATCCCTAATATAGTATTTATTGCTTCTATCTGAGTGTCGTCATATATTTCTCTGTCTATCACTGGTTATAATTTCAGATCTACTCAACCCAGTATCGCCAAAATTACCTATAGCCAGCGTCCTGCTTCGTCTTTTGCACTCATAATTCCCTTTGATTATGAGGGCTGCAGATGCCGAATCGGAAATACGAGGAATTTCTCTGCAGATTATGCTGGACCTGTGGTGATTTCGGGCAAAACCTTGAGGTATTGCAGGAGGCAAAGCAACCATCTGTTCGCAAAATGCCGACGTCGTACCTCAGAGCCCATTCCAAATGAGGCGGAGATGAAGGAGGCTATGATCTTGAAATAGGTACCACTTGACATTTTGAACCAGATCCATGTTGATTAGCGTATTGATGGAAAGACATGGGTCTATACTATGCAGTGCGGGAACCCTGATACCAAGTCATCTTTTGTGATACTGCTAACTATTATTACTCTCTTATGCCCCCAAACACAACTTGTTCTAAACCTTGTAGAGATTTTGATGTGCCTGATTTTTCAGACACTAACCCCTCCACTTGAGCCCTTGGCTTCCGGGAACGCTAGCCTTATGTGGTCAGAAAATCATCTCAATGTTTTTCTTACGTCATGGCAAGGATTCGCAGACACAAAGGGAAACCAAGCTATAATGGAGGCAATCGGCGGCAGATTGATCTTTCAACAGTACCTTGCATCTCAGGACTTAACAATTTTAGGTTTTGCTTTTGCAGAAGCAACAGGATTATTTGCTTTAATGATTCGTAAATGGACGGAGCACGCTAGAGATGCATTTAACAACATACGAAACTCACTTGACCCAGTAATCAGAAATACTGGTGGGATTTTCATAAGAAGCGCATCTCAAACCCGCAGCAAACCCATAGTATAAAAAAAGTCTAAGGCCGCTGAGGAATATCTCGACGGGGTCAAAGTAGCTGTCACAGTTTACCCCGGAAAGCATGGAGATTACCAAACAAAAGTCCGGGCCGGGGGGGTTTAGATTCACCATCGCACTCCAGTTTGGGCTCAACCTTGAAGATGGCGACGAGGTCGTTCTCAAATATCACTTAGTCCCGACAACGCATCCGTATCCCTATGTTGCTTGGGCCGTACCAAATAATCCTGTTAGTCGGCTAGGTATTTCCATTGTTGGCTTATTACATTAGGGGAATGTAATGTTAAAAATTTGAATTCTCTTGTGGATGTTCTGGAACGCTATTTATTCCGTCAAGAGTTTCAAGACGACAATTTACCATAAGGGCTTCTGACAGAAAGAGGAAAAGGAATGTTTACATTTTATTTGATCTGGTAGACCAAATGTTTAGACTGACTAACCTCAAGAGGCTGTCTGTAATCAGAAAGCTATTCTCTCAATGGTAGTCAGTTAGTTGGTTGGTTTACGCTGCAAATTGATAGAGGCCCTAAAGAGAGAGAAAAAATGATAGTATTTCCTGGCTTCGGGATTTTCGATCCAGAGACCTGGTTGTTGTTTATTATGGATCATATAATTCATTAGATCGAGATACGTGTGGTACACATTTGGTCATGTGACATAAAGGCCCTCCGGTGATGACTCAGTTTGTTCCAAGATCAACGAAAAAAAAAAGATCTGTCCTGGTTTATGCAGGGACGTCTTATAGGAAAACAATAGCATATCAATCGAGTCAGCTCGTTCAGATCCAAAAGAAAAAAAAAAAAAAAGATAGTATATCCGTTCAGGGTCCTTCAGGAGGTCAAAAAAAGGAACCGAGATACTCGAAAAAATAGAACCGAGACAAGCTCGGTCAATCTGGTATTATAGCATGTCCTGGTTTCGATCCAGGGTCCTCCGGGTTATGAGCCCGGCGCTCTTCCCCTGAGCTAACATGCTGGATGGAAGATGAATGATCGCCTCCGATTTGTCTGATAAAACTGGAGAATCAAGGAGTGTGTGGTGGATACCTGCGGTGGATCTGCTGTGGAACTTGGAAGCCCGAGCGGAAACTGTCGGAGGCAGTAATGTATGCTTAGTAATACCTAAGCCGTTAACGTAGTTAATTCCCGCATGATCGGGTCACCCTGTTGAGCGGGTCACCCCAAAACGCCATACTAAATACAATTTTTCAAGTTATGATATATCAACAACCCGAAGATAATTTTGCTTGATTCTTAATATACTATGGTATCCTTATACAAGAACTAGTATAGAGTAGCTTGTATATTTCGAATATAACTATTTACCAGTGTTACCAAAAATACGCTCCGATCGAGCGATATATATAAATATATCTATACAATCTCACCCTAAAATATTCCTCAAGCTTACGAAAATATCTAATAGGATATGTTTAATACCAAGGTACCATGAGATTATATAATTAGTCTTCAACGTTGAAATTTGAATCTCTGAAATATTGCATTTAGTATGATGTTTTGGAGTGACCCGCTCAACAGGGTGACCCGGTCATGTGGGAATTACGTTATTTTCTGCTAGTATCAACCAGGATTACATTACTAGTGACGGGAGCGGATCAAAAAGGATGAAATCGATAATAATGGAGGGAAAAACCCTCAGAGTAATAGCTACTATCAAATACTGCTATTATCAAAGGACAAACATAAAAAAGACCATCAAGGCCACAAAGCAGTGTAGGCTAATAAAACCGCAGTCCTGAGCACTATTTATCATCCTCCGGGTCATGAGCAAAAAAGGGAACCGAGACAATCTCGGTCAATCTGATACGATAGCATGTCCTGGTTTCGATCCAGGGTCCTCCGGGTTATGAGCCCGGCGCTCTTCCCCTGAGCTAACATGCTGGATGGAAGATGAATGATGGCCTCCGATTTGTCTCATAAAACTGGAGAATCAAGGAGTGTGTGGTGGATACCTGCGGTGGATCTGTTGTGGAACTTGGAAGCCCGAGCGGAAGTTGTGTAGTGCGCTAATTGGTGGTTTTCTTCGGAGTAACTATTCTCCGGATTAATAGAAATCTCTTTGGCCTCTGTCTGTACATCCAGTGTTCTGAGTATAGTTAGGGCTAAATCGATCTTACATCCGAGCCGAACAGCGCTACGAACAACTACAAATACGGATTCGGTATACTATGTCTCTACCAGATTCCCTCAGATTATGCAGGTATGTTATTTATTTCCCCTTCAAATGTCAAAAAACTATTCGTACAATGGGTCAAAATCGTGATAGCAGAAAGCCCCGGATCGACTTTTTTCCCATCGGACAAATTACTTGGGAGCAATTGAAATTATCATGGTAGATTCATGTACAAGAGCCAAATGTAAAAAATCTTATTAGTATTATATAGGTATACACCATGGATAATTTATTGATCGAACGCCCAGACTCATGGTTCA